CTTCTATAAATGATTGGTTAAAAAATAATCTAATGGAATACTACTCTGCCATAAGAAAAAATGAAACACTGCCATTTGTGACAACATGGATGGATCTTGAGAATATTATGCTAAGTGAAATAAGTCAGTCAGAAAAGCTAAGAACCATATGATTTCACACATATGTGAGATGTAAAACTGAAACTCATAGGCACAGACCATAGGATAGTGGTTACCAGAGGGAAGGGCTGGGGGTAGAAAGAAGTAAAGGGGGCCAAATATATAGTGATGGGAGGAAGGTGATTTGACTTTGGATGGTAGGCACACAATGCAATATACAGATCATGTATCATAAAAAAATTTACACTTGAAACCTATATAATCTTATTAGCCAGTGTCACCCCAATATATTTATTTAAAAATTTGAGGCAAGTGATTTAGCTTATAACTATGAAGAATAAATCACAATGTGTTTTCCATTCTTGCATGAACACCTCATTGTCATTAGAATAAAGTAACTTATGAATTCACTTTTTAAAGGAAATTGGAAAAGCACTTAAAAATTGCTATGGCCAGGAAGAAGTAGAAAGCAAATCTGTTTCTTTGAAATCATGGAAACTAATGTTTAATATTTTGACCATTCACTTTAGTGCTACCAAATATTATAAATTAAATATATGGAAAATAAATTTAAAAAATGTTAGATTTTGTGGAAATTTATATTTACATTGAAGATTTTTTATGTTGTCAAGTATATAGTTCACATTAATTAAATCTAGTAGTTTGGTGCCAAATATATAGTTCCCATTAGGCTACTGTTGAAACTCCTAGGATTGGGTTTATGACTATATCATAGGTCAAAATAAAACTGAGTGTGCATAATTTTGCTATTTTCTTCAGCCTAAAATCAACTCTAAAAGATGTCACATTACCACGTGACTGAAAAGGCTAAAGAAACTGAGTTATATCAGACAATGTAATCACTGAATTTGAAGTTGCCCATTCAGAAGGGTAGACCTTCCAGAAACCTCCCTACACCCAATCCTACAAGGCAGCAGAAGAAGGCATGTGTGCTGAGGATTGGATATTTTCTAAAAGAAAGAATATGTATTTTCAGTTCTTTCTCCCCTTAGAAAGAAATGAGTAAGGTTATAGAGAGAATGGTTGCATTTCAATCCTTTCATTCAATTATCAGTACATCTGCAAATGTAGATGTCCTTCTATAGTGGGAAAATATTAGAGCAAGGGAAAATGGTTTCTAGACATCATAAAATATATGTGTTTTGTTTCCAATAAGTTGCCCATATTCTCCTTTTGGTGGCTTTTTATTCCAATCTTTGTACATTATAATCATTGTGTACTTTAGTCAAGACAAACCATCCAGTCCTTTATGGTGAATTCCAGTTTCAAGTTATCACCTCTGTCTTGCAGCCTGTCGTGCTTTTTGTGGCCATGACTCATCTTTTTCCAAAATTATGTTCTTTCTAATATGTTACTAAATTTGATTGTGTGGTTATTAAGCACCTACTGTGATGCATTGGCTAATTGAAATTTAAGTATCATCTTCAAAAACCAAGACTGGCATATTTCTTGAAGGCTAAGATCTTATTATTTACAACTCATACTTTTAATTAAAAATACGTTTTTTGAGAGCAAAAATAAATGATGAGAATCATTGACTGGCTGCCTTCTGTACACTCATTAATGGGGATCCAGTTGTTCCCTGACCAGGAATTGGGCCACAACCTTCTGGTTCATAAGTCAATGCTCAACCACTGAGGAGAAACACAGGCTGGGCTGCTCTCTCTTTTCTAAGACCAAATTGGAAAAAAATGTCCCTTATCTTGTTCTTCAAACCTTAAATGCTCTTTCATAGTAAACAGAGCAGTAGTACTTATAATTATCACTTATTGATTATGCAACACCACACTAGCATGGTCAAATGGTTTTATTTTTCTAAATACCATGCAATAAAGGTAATTAAAACATCAATGAAATAAAATAGGTGCTTCTGTGGGTTAAATAAAAAATCCAGTAAATGAGTATAGTATTTTTCCTAACCAAAAATAGCATGTATAAAATGATTAAATTATTTTTATTCTTGAGTACCACATATAAATGCTCAATTCTAGGGTTTTTTTATAGTGAATGTAAATTTTTTGTGAGTCACTTTTGGCAATAGTAGTTCTAAACCACCATAGTGATTGCTGCCTTGTTTTATGATGGTGATAAATTTAATATGTTTCTTTTATCTTATAATTATAAGGAACCTAAAATAATACTAGAAAATAGTCCATATTTCCCATTTTATTGTTTTCATTAATGAATAATGGTATCCTTGGACATTAAACATTTTCTCTAAAAATTAGAGCTAGAGATTTTTGACAGATGTTTAATGCATAAAGGTTGTTTGTGATTCATGAACTATTTGGAATTAATATCCTAGATTTAAAACTTTTTATCTTTTCTGAGATTTGGAAATTTCCATTGCCTTTAATTACATTGCCTGGCATGGAAGAGACAAATGTCTATATAGATAACAACTTTTTAACAAAGCTAAAACATAGTGTCATCTTTGTGAAGAAATTTCAAGAGGTAATTAGTGATCCGAATACAAATTAAGATTCAACTTTGTGAGATGTTAACTTTGCAAATAAGTCAACTCTAGTGACAAATCAGCGGTCTGAAATATAGGAAGAAGAGAATACTAATTTGCATATATTTACATATCTCTAACAACATTATACTTGAATATTAGTTTTAATAAGGCTAGATACTTTATTTCTCTATCATTTTATCCTCAGTGTCAAGAAAAAATGGCTATCATGTATAGTTGCAAAGTTGTGTATTACACAATGGTATAGACAAAGGGCATTAAAAGACTAAAATATAGCCTATGACCATTCACAGGTCAAACTCCAAAGGGGCTGCTTTCATCCAAAGGAGCGATTTCTCATAATTTTCATTAATTGGAATCACCTATGTCCCTGCTACAATAGTGACATATTTAGTAGGAGCTCAATAACATTTATGATTGATACATGAGGAATTTATTCTGTGAATTGCTAAACTCACCCATGTAAAACAAATGACACCGACATTACAAATAACTCTGTGCATGGCAGCTGACAAGTTCATTTGGCACTGATTACTTTAATTTTAGATTGTTTAGTTTTGAAACAGAGAACCACAAATACAAGATATCATCTTAAAATTGAAGAAACAGTGATTGTTTCTTATATAGAAATCATTTTATACACTCTTTTTTTATTTTATTCCCCTGTTTATTTGATATCAAAGGAGAAAACAAAATGTAGAGTGTATTGTGATTTTGAGTGATCTAGAACCTGATGGTGTGAAGAAAGATATTTAGGTAAATTTATATTATTTAATTTAAAGTTAGAAAATACATTTCGAGAGCATCGAGGACTAAGAAATGAGATAGAGGCTGGATCATAGAGACAATTTCTATTTCCCTTACTTGGACCACCCCTGTTATTCTCTTTGCATATGTTTCATTTACCTTTTTGCAAGTGGGCTCCTTCTACTTTCTTATTGATGCTTTCTAATTATCTTATCTGACTATGGCTTTGGCTTGCTATGGGGAACACATCAGTTGTATTCCCAAGTGATTTTTCAGTTGCTATGTTATCATAGTCTCTGTATCTCTCTGTTAAGCTTCTTGAGAGAGGATCTGTTTGGCTCTGGCTGTATGTGGGTAAGGGAAGAAATGGGGAGGCAGCAGAGGCAGGGAAGTTCAAGATGGTAGCATGGTGAACCATAGCATGTCACAAGACAGGGGCTATAGTTACAGCTGACAATAAACATTTTTACTAGGATCATTTCTTTTTCAATTAACTTTCTGAAAAAAACTTTTATATTAAATATGCTCACTTTTACATTTTGCAAATCAAGTTTTGGAAAGCTGTGGTTCTCTCTTAGGGGATTGTAATATTACCTCTATACTTTCACTGACCTCTTAATTGAAAATAAGCATTTTTTTTCAATTATGAATGTGATCAGCAAGCCCAAATAATATCAGCAGTTTTTGGGACTTTGCCGCCAGAAGAAATGACATATAATTTTATATCACAGTCTAATCAATGTATATGATTCAAAACACTATTATGTACATCATTGCTTTAATCAAATATCTGATGTTAAATTATTGTAGTTTCACATGGTAGGAAAGAAAGCATGCATTACTATCTCACAAATTAAAAAAAATATTTTTGTATATTATATTTCAGTACAACTAGTTGCATTTAAAATCCAGTGGATAAAGAACATTATAAACTGATGAACCAAGAGACAGATATAGAGACAGTAAAGCAACAGGCAGACTGTCAAATTACAGTGGGGAGGGGAGGAAGATCTGGGGGAGATAGTAGATCAACTGAAGGACTTGTGTACATGCATATAAGTACAACCAATGGACATAAAACTCTGGGAAGGGAGGGTATGTATGGAAGGGAGGGAGGGGGGGCAAAAAAATCAATATAATATATTAAAAAATAAATAAATAAATAAAATCCAGTGGATTTAATTTTATGCTTTTAAAAACATTGTAATAAGAAAGGGTCCTTAAGTTTTACCAGATGCCAAATAGGTTTTTGATATCAAAAACCTAAACATTCTGCTGTAAAATACAAGAGTGCAATTATTGCTGAATTTTCTAAAAATACTTGCTTATTAGTGGATGGGATTTCTAAGGTCTAATTTTAGCCAATACATTTATAATTTGACTAAATATTAATATATTTAAATGGATACTATTTGTTTATTAAAATTTTAAATCTTAAAGATGTAGTTAATCATGTTTTTATATACACATATGTTCATATATACCTAATAAGGAAACCATAATGTAAATGGTGTGCTTTTCATTCATAAATACATAGTTGAAGGTTTCAATTCTTGAAAAATCTTATCCTAGTAGCCATACCCACAGCCATTTCAAAACCATTAAAACTTAAAACTGCAATATGTTACTCAAAGCTCAAATTCTGTCCTTTTCACAGGCTGCTCAGAAAGAGGTTGAAAAACAGAAGGCTCACCTAAAGAGTGTCACGGATCTTGGAGAGGCCTTGAAAACAGTTTTGGGCAAGAAGGAAACCTTGGTGGAAGATAAACTGAGTCTGCTAAATAGTAACTGGGTAGCTGTCACTTCCCGAGCAGAAGAGTGGTTAAACCTTTTGTTGGTAAGAGAAGCTGGAAGATTTGCAACACCTCTCCATCATGGGAAATGAATTTTATAAGCACTAAATAATGATACTTGTACTTATAAATGCCTTCACTCTACATAAAGTCTAGCTCTTAATTCAATATCTATCACTGCATTTTAATATATTTTCATGTTCATGCTCTATTCCATGTGGAGATTAGACATAATAGTAATTTGAATGATACTGAATTTCTGTCTGTTAAAACTGTACAGAATAGGACAGACCTTTTAAGAACATTGTCTAACCAATATGTCATGGTATGTCTCTAAAATTAAGGAATACCAGAAACACATGGAAAACTTTGACCAGAATGTGGAGCACATCACAAAATGGATCATTCATGCTGATACACTTTTGGAGGAATCTGAGAAAAAGAAACCCCAGCAAAAAGAAGACGTGCTTAAGGTAGCAAATAAAATATTATGAAAAATAACGTTTAAATAGTACAACCGTTATGTCAATCATGTTTGTCCTAAAAAATACCAAAGACTTCTTAATAAGAATGAAAAAATCTCCTTCCTTCCTACTTTCTTCCCTCCCTCCCTCCCTCCCTCCCTCCCTCCCTCCCTCCCTCCCTCCCTCCCTCCCTCCCTCCCTCCCTCCCTCCCTTCCTTCCTTCCTTCCTTCCTTCCTTCCTTCCTTCCTTTGTACTTTCTTAATTCTTATGGGAACTAATGTTTTGGAAATGTTCTGTAATCTAGGTATTTGTCCATATCCACCCTTCAGCTAATTATAGGCCTCTTAAACTCTGATGAGAAAGGAAATTCAGGATTTACTTTGGTGTCCTATTGCAAATCCCTGTCCATTTTAATGGTAGTACCCTGTTTACTCAAAAATAAGACAGTGTCTTATATTAATTTTTTCTCCCAAAGTTGTGCTAGGTCTTATTTTCAGGATATGTCTTGTCTTGCCATGCTCTAGGTCTTATTTTCGGAGGATGTCTTATTTTCAGGGAAACACGGGTACTACCTTCTTGTATCAAACATGAAAATCCGGTAGGCATCATTCAAGGCCCAGCTGAATAAACACTTAAGATCTAATCACCTGGACATTTGCCTATTCAGTATCTAAATCTTAAGATTAGTAACAATCCTGAGCTTATATGACACTGAATTTGTCATTTTTAATAATATATAAAGCAAACAATACTTTTCTCTGTTTTTGTATTAAAATAAATTATTAGGGCATCTTAAGTTATCTTTCTCGAAGGAAAGGCAACTTAATCTTAACTTTAAAAAATGATTATTGTAAAGGGTATGAGATGTATAATGTGCAAATATGTCTTATTAATTCTGTATTATTTCTAGTTAATGATATCTTTTTCAGTTAAAAAGAAAGAATAGAATTTTCCCAAATATTTAAATTCATGATACCTTACTTTGATTTACAGTTTTTAATAATTGTAATTAGACTAATGGGCTACTATTTAAAGAACAGTCAAATTTATAATTTCTTTCTATATAATTTATTTGTTTGTTTTTAAGCAATTGGTATTTTCTGAGGATTACAATTTTTTGTCACAAAGGACTATAAATGTATTTCAGGCTATCCCCAAAACATATTTATATTATTGCCTATGCCTTATGTTGCCTTCCCTTTGACCTTGACATGTAGTTTAGGACTGTCATGGTAAAATTACTTTGAGGTCTTTAGAATAATAGGAAGTGAACTATTTCACTTAAGCAGTAGTCATTCTGACCCTTTGTGTCAGACAGAACATCCTCAATCTATGTCTGTGACAAAGAATCCATGTGTTAGAAAATCTGTTTTGCCCATGGCACTTAATATGATAAACAACAGGGAATTTAAAAGTGCCAGGAAAGGGTTGGAAATTGTTTTTCAGCTACCTCATTCTTAAGCATCCTATATAATAAAGAGGTAATATGCAAATTGACCATCACTCCAACACACAAGATGACCTCCTCCAAGTGATCAAAGATAGCCACCCCCATGTGGACACAAGATGGCCACCACAAGATGGCAGGCAGGGGTCGGTAGTTGTGGGTGATAAGGCCAGCAGAGGAGGGCAGTTAAGAGGGACCAGGCCTGAAAGGAAGGGCAGTTGGGGGCAACCAGGCTGGCAAGAGAGGGCAGTTGGGGGCAATTAGGTCTGTAGGGGAGAGCAGTTGAGGTTAACCAGGCCAGCAGGGGAGAGCAGTTAGGGGTGACTGAGCTGGCAAGGGAGGGCAGTTGGGGGTGATGAGGCCTGCAAGATGGGGGGGCAGTGGGTGGGTACCAGGTCTGCAGTGGAGGGCAGTTATGGGGGACCAGGCCAGCAGGGGAGGGTAGATAGGGGTGACCAGGTCAGCAGGGGAGGGCAGATAGGGGCAATCAGGCTGGCAGAGGAGTGGTTAGGTGGTGATCAGGCTGGCAGGCAAAAGCAGTTAGGGGCAGTCAGTCAGGCAGACAGGCAAGCAGTTGGGAGCCAGCAGTCCTGGATTGTGAGAGAGATGTCCGACTGCCCGTAGGATCAGGCTTAAAAGGGCAGTCGGACATCCCTCGAGGGGTCGCAATTGGAGAAGGAGCAGGCTGGGCTGAGGGACACATACTCCCCATGCACAAATTTTATGCACTGGGCCTCTAGTATATTCATATTGTTCCACAGCTATGAAATTTATTCAACATAAGATAAAATAAGACTAAATATAAAATATTGTAATTGTTGCAGGAAAACATTCCTTGTCCTTCCTCAGATTCTCAGACTAAATAAATAATTTAAATGAGCATAGGTCAGATTTAAGGAAGGACAAATAAGTTTGTGATCTTTTCCTGAGATCACAAACATTCTCTTTTTTTAATATATTTTATTGATTTTTACAGAGAGGAAGGGAGAGAGACAGAGAGCTAGAAAAGTCGGTAAGAGAGAAACATCGGCCAGCTGCCTCTTGCACACCCCCTACTGGGGATGTGCCCGCAACCAATATACATGCCCCTTACCGGAATTGAACCCAGGACCTTTCAGTCTGCAGACCGACGCTCTACCACTGAGCCAAACTGGTTTTGGCACAAACATTCTTATTCTATTCCTATTTTATGGGAATTGGCATTTTTCTTCCCTCTATCTGCATGTGTCCTCTTTCCTTCCCTCCTTTCCTTCATCCCCCCCCCCCTCAATCTCTCTCTCTCTCTCTGAATTTCTTTCTCTCTCTTACTCTGTCCTGTTCTATCACTGTCTTGCAACTTTCATTTAATTACTAACTTCAAGCCCTGTCTCTTGCTCATGGAATATAGCGTTTAAAGGCTGAAATGAATGACATGCGCCCAAAGGTGGACTCCACACGTGACCAAGCAACAAACTTGATGGCAAACCGCGGCGAGCACTGCAGGAAAGTAATAGAGCCCAAAATCTCAGAGCTCAACCATCGATTTGCAGCCATTTCTCACAGAATTAAGACTGGAAAGGTAGGAAGACCTGCTCCGAGGTGGAAACTAGTGATAAATGATCTCTTGCGAAGGTTGCACAGTACTCTGAAGGGGGCACGCAACCCCCAAAGCAAGGTTTTCAAAAGGATAATGAAATCCAAAATGTATTTAAGGAAATTTTGTCCCTAAATCTCTCCCTCCTTTATTCTCTCCCTCTCTTTCCCCCGTCTCTTCCTGTCTCTCGCCGTCTCCCTGTCTCTCTGTCATTTCTTTGTCATTCCATAGCTAGACAAAAAAAAAAACAAAAAACAAAAAAAAAAAACTGCATTCTATGCTGGTTTACATATGTACTTTCAGGGGTAACCTACAGCAAAGTAACAAATAGCATGCTGCAGGCCAACAACATCAAAAAGCACAAAATACATCTATCTAAAGAAAGCACTACTGACATATTTTGCCACATAAAATATTGCCTGTGTGTAATACGGATCGAATCTCCCAAATGAGGCCTTGTACATCTCCTGCATGATCTAGGGTATTTATTCCTTCTTAATGGCTGCACACATGTATGTTTGTATGTTTATTGAACTTGCTCTTGCTAGTTGTTGATACTGTGACAAAATGACTTGTTCAAGCCCTGAAAACAAATAATTGCAAAGCTTATATATCCTAATTTTTGTAATTTTATATAATTATATTTATTCAATTGAATGGAGATCCAGGAGATATGGAACTTTTGCATGATAACCCTTTATATTTGTGTAACACTGAAAAAATGATAAAATCTTATATAATAGGTAGCATGCAAAATATTTAATATAGTATTTTAATTTTCAATTTCAGGGGAAATGGCAGAATGCAAGGAATTACTCCCAAATTTTTAAAATGTAACTATATATATATATATATATATATATATATATATATATATATAAATATATATATAAAACATTTTAATATAAAATGTGTGTAAAAGAAACATGTATTTATATATACAGATAATGACTGGAAATAATTTTAAATGAGAAAAATGTTGTTGAACTATTTGTGAGAAAATGCTATTGAACTATTTGTGAGGTAAGTCTTGATTCCTGAAAAAATAGGAGAATACATTTGAAAAATTACTTTTACAAATATGGATAGACAATTATAGCATGGTTTAAAATTGTTGCATTTTCTAAGGCATTACAATGTACCACTGTTATTTATATAATAGTATATACTTAAATGAATTTCTAAAATATTCAGAAATGTGATATGAATTTTAAATACTTTATGCACATAAAACATAGCTACCCTTCAGAATTCACCTTCCAAAATCAAAAATATATTATCTTACCTTAATTCATTGTTTCTTCTTCATAATATTTGAGTAAACTAGTTTATTCTATGCATTTATATATTATTTTAAGTAAGGCATTTTCACCCGGAAAAATATCTGACAGGCTTTGAAACTTTATTTTCAGAACAGAGTTTTGTTTTGTTTTGTTTGTTTGTTTTTATTTTTGTTGTGTATTTTTTTTGTAAGAATTCACTCTGCTATTTAAAGAGACAGTTGTTTTTATTTCTGGAGATATCCCTAGAGTATGTATTATCTAAATAAACAGAAAGGTTACTTCAATCACCTAAGAAATGAATTCTAATAATCCATTGCTAAGTTTTGTGTTCTTCCCACTATATATTTTTATAAAGTGTCACTAAACTATAGAATAATTAAGATAAAACAGGGCATTGTTTTATTTCTTTTTAAAAATATATTTTATTGATTTTTTTTATTTATCTTTTTTTTACAGAGAGGAAGGGAGAGGGAGAGAGAGTTAGAAACATCAATGAAAGAGAAACATCAATCAGCTGCCTCCTGCACACCCTCTACTGGTGATGTGCCTTTGACTAGAATCGAACCTGGGACCCTTGAGTCCACAGACTGATGCTCTATCCACTGAGCAAACCTGTATTGTTTTCTTTATTCTGTAAACAGTAGGATGCTATCAAAGATGTCACATGACTATGATATGTAAATTTTTAAGAATGAGTAGAATTCATCCTGTACCAATAGCAGCTGGCTTGGTGTGGCCAAGAGAAATTTGTGATTTTCATTTTATGTTCTGTACAAATATTTCAGTATACTTTCAGATACCATGCATCAGGTGAGCCACTTGATGTACATCCTTTGTTTTCCTTACTGAAGAAAGGCATAAACAATTTTAAATCAATATTTTCAATTATATATTGATTGACAAGACAATCACAGTATTACTTTCTATGATTTCATTTTCTCTAAATTAATAAAGACAGTTCGATACAATAGTGACCCCATTTGGGGATTTTGAAGAGATAATTATACTCTGTCATCATGAAAGCATTTGCTTATTTATTCATTTCATCTGCCAATGATAGTGAGTATTAATTATTAGTGAGTATGGAAATATACAAATATGTAAATAATATTTGCTTTAAAAATATGTTTACAAACACAAACTTAAATACTTATTGCAGTCATAGAATATGCTTAACACTAGTTTAACTTCATGGAGATGTTCAGTTTATGATTGAAGTTACTCCCAGCAATCCCATAGTATTATAGAAAGAATAGTGTGCATAGAAGACTGATTATTGGGCTTAACTTTGTCAGGATTAGGCAGAACATGTGGTTTCTCCACAACTTCATTTCAGCTTTTATAAAATAACAGAGTTGAATTAAATTAGTGGATTTTAAATGGAGCACTGTTTTGCCACACCCAAAAGGAGTTATTATTTAGAAAAAAATGCATACAATGGATTAGCAATTTACTGGATGGTAGGGTTTCTGCCCTTATCTATCCCCTTCCAATAATAGAGTTCAGGAGATACAAGTTATTCCATAGAACATGGGTTAGTAACAATCGTGTGTGAAATTTCTGGGTTAGATTAGTGAAAATTAGGACTAATCTATAATCCTTGGTATTTCTAAAATTTGACAGTCCAGTGATCTTTTGTTGATACAGTAAGGGATTTAAATAATTACTTGTATATGTATTGGTTTGTGGAGTACAATACTGGAAGTTCTGGAATTCTCAGGGGTGTCCTTTGATTTCTAAGTCAAGTTCCTATTATATAGTTGGGCTTTTGTAAGATAAGATTAGGTTAGAATATTGCCTTCTATGATTGAGTCTATGGCTAGGTTTCACTTAATAAATAATCTAGGGAAAAAACCTATGGTGACAAAATAAACAAACAAATAAAAGTAGGTTGGGAATGAATACGGACATAACATAGACTTAGTATAAGAAATAATTTCAGTATGTGTTTTAAAGGTCAACTGAAAAGGGAAATTGAATAGAGCAAAAGTTGATCCTAAAACTCACTAACAATGCCTGAATTTACTATTTAGTGATGAATATAAAGTCTCTGTCTCCTGCAAGGGATGTCCATTGGAGGAAATGACCAAATCCAGAAAGCAATGAGAGCCTCATTTCTGGTTAAAATCTATTAAGATGATGCCTTTCTTATTTTAACCTCAAGATTGTGTCAAGAATCAAATGATCTAAGATATGTAAAAGCACACATTTAAAAATCTATACATTGTTAAGAAAGCTTCATTCCTCCTAATCTCTGTGAAATCAGTTTGAGAAATGAAAGTTTTAACAGACATGGTCAGAATTATTAGAAAAATTAATCAGTGATAATTTCAGAGTTCTGGTTAAAGTCAGTGGAATCAATGGGGAAAGACATCATGTCTCAGCTCTTCCTGCTTTAGGGCATCTGAACGTGATAGCATAGCAGGGTGGTGGGAGGGATACTATTAGGAAAAGATAGTAACTGGAGACAGAAGCCTAGAAAGGAAAACAGGAAGGCAAAAATAAACTACTGAGTTCTGTGGTTTATGGCAGCTCTACCCTTCTTTCTTTTTTAATAAGCCAAGATGAAGATGGGGGTCAGCAATTAGAGAGAGAGATTATATTTGAATAGATCTTAAAGAATTAATGAAGGAAGGATTTGGGAAAGGTGACATTTTGATTTAACTCTTGTCATCCATGTACTATTTCAAGTCACAATGCTTGGCATTCTGGTGCTTATATGGCTAGGGGTTTACTAGTGATTCAAGGAGTTTACCGTTTAATGGTTGAGTAAAATATGTTCAGGGATCCTGGGCTAAGAATGAGTGTGTGCTGAGTGAAAAAAATGTGTATATATATATATATATATATATATATATTTTTTTTTTTTTCATAGTTGTATTATCAAATTTTTTTTTTACCTCCAATCCATGTTAGCAGATCAAAAGTAATTGTTCATTGGACCAGATGCTTTCAGATATGTATACAGCTATGAGAAAGCCAGCGAGTTTCCCATTTATTGTATACTATATCAGGAAAAAAGAGACACACATGGGTGAGCCTAAGCTATCTTAAATAGTGATTTTACAAGTGAAAAATAATGTATAAATATAGTAACAATAGTTTAGATAGATATATTGGCTCTCCTAAATATCAGTGGGTAATAAATAATATATCTTACAAATGTGACCTCGAATGTCATAATACGTTTTATTGGATTTGAACATTTTAATTAATATTTAATTTTCAATGATTAGCATTATCAATACAAATATGTTGACCTTTTCCCCTTTTGTAGTCAATTTATAATTAAATATCTTCTCTGATAGAACAGAACAGGATCTGTCAATTGGTACAGTTATTCTTGTAACATTTTTAGTAAAATTTTCTACAAAAAACTTACAACGGAAAGCATAGATGAAAACTCAGGCAAAGATCTACAGATATTGCATAATCTATACAGTATTAATTACAGCTAAAACCCTGAAATAACAGTAACAGATTAATACCCAAGTATGTAATACTATATCTGCTAGGTTTATTTTATTGAAATAAATATGAAATGAATCTATCAACAGAATTATTTTATTAATAATATTTTACATTAACAATACTTTTTCACATTTGAATTTTCTATCACTATAGCAATGTTCATTACTTTGAAACTTTGGTAATAATTTCCTTTTGTAATTATCTAAAATGTTTTCAAAGTAGATCTTAATT